ATGCGTAGCTTGGGTCCCGATCCACTAGGGTTTCTTCGTTGACAGGAGACTATACTTAGAGGCGATGAAATAAAACACAATTTTTCCTTTTTTCTCTCTTGGTTTCGGTTCTTCCTTTTCCTTTTAGTTGTTGCCTCTTCGGTGGCTGTCTTGCGACTGACTCGAATCGAGAAATGGCTCGCCTTTTATTTGGCCCGTTAATACCTTACAGAGAGCCGCGTACTTTGAGCTCATTTTTCGAGTAAAATTTCCCTAAACCGAAACCTTGAGAGTCCTTTTATTTTATGTTTTCAGTAAAACACCTTACACATATTTATTTATTTACATGCCTTACATACTATTATACAATATTAAAACATAATATTCAATATATAATAATTAATTAAAAAAGTCTTAAAACAAAAATATCTAAATTTCTAGGTTGCTACATTTTTACTATACATTTTCCCTTATAACTTTTGAACGGATAGTCCTATCGACCTAATTCTTGTTTTATTATAAGTTTTATAATAAAATCTATTATTTAAAACATAAACTATTATGCTATTGCAAGAAACAAAAAATCTCATTTTCAAGTTACGTAATTATATGCTAACATTTTACTTACGTACCTATTCCTTTCAAATTAATGTTAAATAGTCTTAAATGATTCAAATAAGCAAAAAATACTCTAAACTAACCTTATTACACTAATTAGAACTTATTTTAACATAATAAATCTAATAAGAATGAGATTTCATATTTACAACAATTATTCATAATACGCTAAAATGACATTGTCCCTATATTAATACACACGTTACTCGAAGATAGGTTTTCCGTCGCCGACAACCGCACAAACCTCGGTGAGTGTTACGATGTAGTTTTTTTCAAATAAAAAGTAATTATTTACAGTATCCTACTTTGACTAAAAGTCAATCTTTCACAATCAATTTTTTTTTTGTATTTATTTTGCCGTTTTCATAATAGTTCTGAATAAGTTGTTTGTTAATTTATTTGAATATACAAAATTGCAAGTTGTACATAGGCTGTTATCAATTTTTTCTTATTTGATTACGTGCATATAATACATCGTAGCTATATGTAATAGAATCAATTTGAAACATTAATTTCCAAACAATAAATTTGGAACACAGTATAAAATAGTATAAACGATTACGTTCCACGCTGCGTAATCTGTTTCAAAGCGTGACGGGGTCAAACGTCTGTTTCTTAAGAAAACTTTTTCATACTAATTTAAAATTATACATTTCCTATATATATATTTCCTAGATATCGTTTTATGATAATAAAACGACATTATATAATATGAAAGAAATTTTATTCATATATACTTAATCGTAATTATAAAACGTTTTGAAATTGTACGTCAGTTTACGTCATTAAAATTGCAACCCATTTTTTTGTACTCGAACTACGGTAGCCAGTAACAAAAGAACGTAACATAATTTGCATTTCGAATTGCACGATAAGGAGGCACGGTTCTGGTAACACTGGTCACTACAGACCGTAGCAGGTGATAATATAATTGAAGGGAGTTTTTATGCCGTACGGAATAAGGATCATTTCATATTATATCCTGTTCACTGACAAGCCCCTTTTCCAGTGATTAATTATGCGTAAGTGAATCGTGATTATACTGTTAAGTTTCTTGGCGGCACCAATTCATGAATTAATCATAAAACCGTCTTGTATGAATGGGTTACTAGATTTCCAGGCATAATTATTATGATATTATAGATAGAATTCATCATACATAATATAAACCTATACTGATATTATAAAGAGATGAAGTTTGAGTTTGGTGAGGTTGCAGGGGGTAATCTCTGGATCTACTGAACCGGTTTAGATGAAATTTGGTAAGAAGACAGTTTGAGACCCTGGAAAGGACATAGGACACTTTTTATCCCGGAAACCATCCCTTAAGGGGGTGAAAATGCGGATGAAAGTCTGTATGGGGAATCAACCTATGGACGAACCCAAGCGAAGCGAGGGTTACTCGCTAGTAGGTGATAATAATTACATTTAGAAAAAAAGTTTACGTTTCAAGGCAGAAAAATCGTTTTTATTTAGTACCTTTATATACACTTTCTCTTAGTTTGTATATATATTTGTTTTTTTAAGTAATGATTCCAGGATTGATAGAAGGTCAAACTAATTCAGTGACTAAGGAGTCATTATACATGTACAATATGTATTATCAACACAAATTTTTTTTCGACGTACATCCTACGCGAACAGGGCCGTAGACAAAATTTGTATTTCATAAATTAACAATTTTATTATGTGTATTATACATCTAATTAATATTTCTGCAATCGCATGTGTGTATGTATGTAAATTTAAACATGTTTGAAACACGTCCACGACTTACTTAGTACGCATAATTGTACTAGTTAGCAGGGTTGCTAGTTTAATGAACTTATAATAAATAACACTAGCAAAAGGAAAGTTGGTGCAGGTAAACAACTTTTTTAGGAGTACCACCTTAATTGGCAAGTATTTATACTTAGTTAAAATGTTGTTTTCGCATATATTTTAAATCAGACGTAATAGTAAATACTTAATAAATACTTTGATTGTGATATAAACTTATTTAACCTAATATTTTATTCAAGGATCATTACATCATGTAACCCATTTTAAATATACCTATATAGATAGGTACATATATTCGTATAGTGGTAGGTCTTAAAGCAAAATATTATGTAGGTAAATGCATAATATGTATGTTTAAGCATCATAGTAGATCAGTAGTAAATAAGACTCTAACAGCCTCAGTGGTCTAGTGGCTGCAAATCTAGAGATCCTGGGTTCGAGTCCCGGGTCGGGTCAAGATTAATCACCGAGTTTTTCTGTTAAGATATTCTCAGTAGTAGGCAGGAGTTGAGAAGATGGTAGTGTTGCACCCCCGTGCCTCGGATAGCACGTAAAGTGGGTCGTGCGCCTTAAATCTCACCGGTCGTGTCGAAGTATCGTTCCATCGGACTTTGAGAGTGACAGGAATAGAGAGTGCACTTGTGCACTATAATATCTCCTGCGCATCTGGCTAGTCTCAGTGAGATTGGCCGTAGGTTATTAGGTGAAAGTCAGTCACTTAAATTAACCATACCGTGAATATATGTTTCGACGAAATAGTATTTTTAATCTAAGTTTTCTATTTTCTTTATATTATACTTGGGATTAACGAAATTAAAACATTTAAAATAAATGCTATATAATACTATAATAATGGGACAACCCTGAATGCCTATACGCACCATTAATAAGTTCATTTACCTGCAACGTATTTCAAGCATGAGATCGAATTTATCAAATAACTAGGTAATATTATAAATGTTGTACTGAAATTGAATAATATGCAAATATGTGTTTACGCATTAAAGAAAAGTTTATTATACCTAACAATTATATATTACTAGCGACTCAACCTCGTTTCGCTCCGGTACTTCCCTAGATTGATTCCCGATACAGAATTTCATCCCCATTTGTCTTGAATTTTCTAAGTTTCTGCACAATTTTCTAATTTTTTTAATAGGAGATATATATTATATATATATATATATATATATATACTGACTGACTACTGACTAAATTACTTCTACTTAGACCCCAAGAGAGTTAGTTGACATACCTCACAAAATAAAATGTAGTAAACTACGTCACTCTGCATGTCATAAACTGTCTCTATCCAAAAGAAACATGTTAATCCGCTGCTCATTGCTCTAAAAAAAACAACAAACACACAAACAGAAAAAACAAACGCAGAATTGATAAGATTAGTAAGGATAATCATCTAAAATTTCTTCCTAAGTCCAATTAAAAAAAGCTCTCATGACTTATACTTACCAAAAGCAAAAAACAAACAAAATATTCGAGCTATCAAAATAATACAATTCAAATCAACATTCATCAGACAAAAGCTCTTCGAAAGATCCTGTACCTATAGTTTGTTTTTCTTCATTTAAGCTTATAACTAACGAGTAACGACGTATCTTTTAGTTGCATAAAGTAATTCACTATCATGGCGTACTAAAGCACAATATATTTAAGATATTTGTAATAAGTCTTCTGCCTTTTCTCTCCATTGAAAGCACTAATATTATAGGCCAAGAACAACGCATTCGATAGCAAAACAACGATTGCATTGTTTCCATACAATTCTATCTCGATTCCTTTCAAGGTTGGTTCTATTGTTACGTTCATTTCTATCGAAAGCGCTGCATCTTAAAAACATTGCATAATTTACAATCGATTTTACTTTTAATCGTGTATATAATAGAAAGTTTAAGAAGCCATGTGATATTTCCAACGAGTAAAACAACGTACAATAGCCATAATTGCGATATAACACTATGGTGTGGTGAAAACCTTTTTGTGACTTTCGAGTTTCGCTTCGAAAGCGAACTTGCATCTAAAGTCTCAACAAAGATAAATGATTACGTGATCTGAATGCCTATAATTTCATCGAAAGTAGTATTAATGTCTCAACTAAACAAACACTGACATACATAAACATCAGAATTAGAATTTCCTTTCAACTATTTGCTTAGAAAATTTCTAATAGATTACATTTTCTACTTAATATCTATATTTTTCTTTTCTTAGAAATCTTAAATTTTGAAATTATTATGTACTTAACCAATTAGCCTGTCTACAGGTAGGTATTTCATTATAAACACTTTCTTTCAATATAATTACATTCGAATTGCAATATAAAAGACTTAGGTAGGTGCGTGAAGAAAATTTATCTACTTCATTGACAATTTCTTAAAATGATGATTTTTAAAATTATTTTGTAATTAAACTACAAAATAATTGTATTTCTCGTAATAAATTAGTAAGTAGCTAGTTAACTTATTTAATAAAACAAATAATATATTATTTAATAAATAAGTATTACCTTGTATTCTAATTATATTTGTGCGAGACCTGTATATATCAGAAATTTATTAAAATACCGACGAACCGATAAAAAACTAGCTGCAATGCTGCATTCATTTAAATAATTCGCCGGTTTCCAAAAGGCGCACGTTTTCTCTTTCTTCTGCAGCGATCCTTGCTTTCACTTTCGCCATTTCCCTATCTCTTATTATCTTTTTTTCGGCTTCCTCTTCCCGCCATGCAGCTTCTTGTGATTCATAAAACTTTTGTTTCACACGACCATATATAATTCCCGCTACTAACATTGCATATCTCATTCCTCTGATCAAAGGAGATACGGGAACTGGTGGCCCATAAGGCAGTGACATAGTTTCTTTAATTATTGTTAATCCAGACTTAATCGATAATTTTACAATCTGAGATTGAACAGAAAAATATGTCTTATTTTTTATTTTTTTTGACAATATTTAAGTTATTCAATTTAATGAAATTTGACATTTATGTATGTGATAAAAAGGTCGTTGAACTGTTAGCGCGCAAAGGTATGCGTTCTAGCACATCCCTATTTAATAGGCCAAGTGCGAAGCGTAACAATAAAAATATTTTTTTTTGTTCCGGAATTACATTTATATCGTTCGGAAGGCCAGTGGCCGAGAGTGCAGCTAATAATACCGTTTGTCTCTGGTGTGGCGACCACCAATTATAGCAGACTGGCGGTCCGCCAGCGATTGAGCTGGCGTAGCGTGGTCAACAGGAACAATCGTTTATCGAATCAATCATTAAGTATACAGCGATACTATTTTAGAGCAATAAAGCAATCAGTAAAAGTTATCTGCAGTGCAATATTTTATCAAGTTGAAAAAATATTAATTCTATTAAATCAGGAGAGTTTAAACACTGAACTTACCAAATATAATTCAATAATTTTTCGCCATATTTGTTAAAAAATGTTTATTTAATAATTTAAACAAATAAAAACTATAAAGATATTATAAGTCATGCAACTTTCACTCATAACAAGCCAACTCGCTAAATAGTGTTAAATACTTACCTACTCATATCTTTTTACATCAAGTTATGTTAATGTGAGAACATTATTATCGTCAGAAATAATTCTTAGATATAATATTGATGAGCTATAACTGTAGCATTATAAGCATTTTAGTTGTTATTTTTATGTTGTTAGCCTATCCTACACAACACACAATATCTACTAGACTAGGTGTTGTGTGTTCACCTGCTAGAGTAGATGCCTGTTGTGTGTTGTGTATAATGTATCTGAAATGGGTACATTTGCTACATGTATTTTTAAAAAGAGTATTTTGCAATTGAAATTCAAGGCTATCAGGACTTACTGCACAGATATTACTTTTAGGTTTATGATACTGGCTAATTAATATACATGGCTAAAATGCTATTCTATTGCTGATTAAATTACTTAATTATCAAAAAAATCTGAATAAAAGAATAGTTAAAAGTCATATAACATATTACGAAGCGTACAATTGCTAAGCATTAGTCACCTTCGTAATAGTTATAAGAATTTACCGAGCTAACATTAACATGTAATTTATCCAATTATCGTTCTAAATTTAATTTCTTATATAAATTGTGAGATCATAAATGCCGCATAGATTGGATTTGGTAAATTGGCTGAATGGAGGTCATGTTTACTTATATTTTTCATGTAACTATAATGATTTATTCCAGTGCAGTAGGAGTTAATGTTTAATTTATAAATATTATTATTATTAAATTTGTGGGTAAAAATAAAATTGAGTGAATTAAGTTATAAGATAATTTTGTAATTAAGGATGTACTTAGCTAAGTTTTATGTTAATCGGTCGAGATCTTAAGTAGCACTCTTTCGACTACTTATTATAGTAAAGGTCATGTTCATTGTTTAGTTCCAATCAGTTATAATTAAAAAAATGCGTGTTAATCTCCAAATTGTATGACAATAGTCAAACACTACCACAGTTGGAAGTCAGCAATAAAATATATATTCTTACTAATTATATTATTATTGTCATTTATTAAACTCAAATTTATTCTAAATGTTTTAAATAAATTAATAAAATTCATTTGCGCTAGGACCGTTGTGAAAAGCACTAATGCTCAAGTCTAAAAAATCAATACCTAACACTCCTCATCTTGTTAGGTTCAATAGCAGCAAGCCATTAAGGAAGGCGAGGCATGAAATAGGCTATTACGCAATCTTCCTATTGTAAAGAACATAATGTTCTCTGACATAAAATGTCACGACCTCGTACTATAATATCAATTACTCTAAATGAGTCCTTCCGTCTATCGAAGTAAAAATATATATTATTGAATCAATATAGATTAGTAGCCAGTAGGTACTTCTCCAACGATTATAATCATTATCGATAATGCAAACTATGTATTTATGAACAATGACATAATTTCAATTTAGCTACCTCAAAGTAAAAATAAACAAATATAGTTTATACTTTTATTAGATGACTAGCTACTCACCCTCGCTTCGCTCGCGTTCGTCTCTAGATTGCTTCCTCATACAAACTTTCATCCCCTTAAGGGATGATTTCCGGAACAAAAACTATCCTATGTCGTTCTCAGGGTCTCAAACTATCTTTTTTCCAAATTTCATATAAATCGGTTTAGTAGATTTAGAGATTACCCCCTAACTCACAAACTCACAAACTTTACCTTTTTATAATATTAGTATAGAAGTATAGATTTACTTCTTATTATAATTGAATAAATACATTTTTAATGATTAACCTATTAAATAATATAATCTTTCATAGAAAATTAAATTATATTAAAAAATCAAACAATGAAAATTTAATTTATTTTTATATTTATATTGATGCAGTTTAAAAGTATGATTTCATATATTTTTTATTTGAAAACTTGATAAAAACCGGTATCGAATGTTTCTTCTTACCAACTCAATACACACACACAGTGTACCCTTCCCTAGCTATTTGCTGTCTTTGTCGTACACGTCAATAATTTATACTGCTCTCTTTCCTTTATTCGACTTTATTTTCCACTTCCAGTCCGTATTTGTCATTTGCTGTGGCAGCTTGGTTAAAACTACTTTTTTTATTCGATTATTGATATGTAAGATACTATCATTGTTTTGTTTATTAATTGTATAAAAATAAATCACTCGCTAAGTGTAAACGTGTCCACAGTTATTATAATTTAGTCATTTAATTTACCGATCAATTAACATCAGTGGGTGTGGTGTACAGAAACCTGTCAAATTCGATGTTTATCTAAATACCCTAAAATACTTACGTAAAGAATTGATATTGTGTTGAAGTACTCAGTGTTACGTATTGAATTGCAGAAGTCGTCCACGACGAAGACGACGACGATGACGACGCCGGCAAAGCTGTATGGACGCGAACTGTCCGCATATGATGATGTTGACGTCGACGAACTGCTTGCTAAGTTGTCACAGGAGGAGCTTACTATGCTCGCCAAGGAAGTCGATCCAGATGTAAGTACTGCTAGAATTTTAATTTTTTGAAAATAGTTGCCTAATTAATACCTTCATAAATTCCAAATCTACAATAAAATATCTTAAAAACCCATTAAACTTGTTAAAATAAATAATTAAATGTATTTTAAGTTTTAATAGGTAATAGCCCATCAAAATCGATTATAAGTTAATACTCAAATGCTAAGCTAAAGCAAACATATTTAAAACATAAAGACTAAATACCTAGGTAAAATAAAATACTTTGAGTCATCTTATTTTGTACTGAAAAATAGATTAGTCCTGAAGGCCAAACATCATTCTTATAGCTATACTAATTGTGATGTTTACCAAATGGCCAAGCATTACTGACTATTAACTATATAAGTACTTACATTGTAAAGATGTAAGACCTTGAAAAGTTTACAATATTTTTAATATCTAATATATATTTTAAATAATTGGTAATGTTTTAACCTTTTATGGATATTCTTCTTCCCCCTGCCCATTTCCCAATCAGTTGGGGTCGGCGCATTACATCTTCTGTACTGCAGATAGGATTAGGCAAAAGTTTTACTACCGGCCACCTGCCTGATGTCAACCCTCCTTGGGAATTTATGCATATTAAAAACCACAAAGTTATTTTATTGCTGTGATTCAAGGAATAGGCTGCTGTTCTTATATGATGGGAGAGTCCTCTGTGACCTTTGTAAGGTCAAATTTTTAGTCCACTAGGTCTAATAATTATGCAAAGGGGCTTAAAGCAGCCAAGACAGGTAATTTTACATATGTATAGATTAATACTTCTACCGAAACTTATCGAAGATAAATTATAATTGGTGTTCTAATTTAAACTGTTTATTGTACTCATTTTGAATGCCTACCTAAAAGATAAGATTGTGGTGTAGTAATTCTTCTAACAAGAACAAGTGTATTATTGGGATACAGAAGTTGTATGCCTAATCACTACATAGTATAAAACAAAGTGGCTTCCTGCTGTCTGCCCCAATGTATGCTTAGATCTTTAAAACTATGCAATGGATTTTAATGCGGTTTTTTTAATAGAGTGGTTCAAGAGGAAGGAATTTTTTGTTAAGTTTTAGTATAGATTGGCCAAAATATAACGATATTTGTTGGAGGTCTCGAAAAAAAATAAGTCATCTGAGAGCTTTCAATGAATCTTTTGAGATATAACAAAATAATGTATGATGGAATTGTGTATCTTATATAGGTCTACCAGAAAAATCTGTGATTGCATATGTCTATCTCTTAAGGATAACATACTATATTCATTTTAATTTAAAACATACCTAAGGACGAACCCGAGCGAAGCGAGGGTGAGTCGCTAGTATAACATATAGTTTTCACATTTTATAATCTATACATATAATAAAATTCGTAACAGACATTTGAATCTATACATTAAATATTTTTTGGAAAATCTTATTGAAATAGTCATTATTATCAATACAGAGGCCTTTAGAGAAAAGTTTTTAGAATTTTTGTCTGTCTGTAACTGCCTCACGAGAAACCCACTGGACTTTGTTGATTTAATATTTGATGATTTTTCGTACATAAAAGTAATTTATATATTTATGTAGCAAAATTACTTGCTATTTAGTGTGTCACAACTAAAACTGTTTATAATGGTTATATAATGGAAGTACCCCATTTAATACATCCCACCTATGTCCATCGGTTGTAATATAATGTAAACATATTGTTTAATATGCTCCATCCTCATTTATAAAACATTATTGACTTTATAATCCTAGTTGAGAATGGAGAGGATGTTCCTAGATGAGGTGACTGAATCAAGGAAAAGTTATTTATTCAAGTAAAATATTAAATAATAGTTATTTATTTTAAGATAAAGTTTCCTTATTAATTATGTATACAACTTTACGCTTTATCCCTAGTGTGGTGCCTACCAGGAGAACATAAAGCTATTACGCTACTTAACTAATTTATCAACATCCAGACTTCAGACTAAGCCATCCATATATATTAGTGACGAAAGGTCCATACAAGATATCTTACCTTAAAATTACTTAGCTATAATTTTACATACATTTAATTTATTACATGTATAAATGTTCTTTTGGAAATATATTATTATAATAAAATGGTAACGAAGCCGAATCTGTACATTAGATATTTTTTGGAAAATCTTATTGAAATAAACATTATTATCGATACAGAGGCCTAATATATAGTTTTTAGAATTTTTGTCTATCTGTCTCACAGAGCTGTCTGTTACCGCATCACAAAAAAACAACTGGAGGGATTTTGATGAAATTTGGTATGGTGATAGCTAGTTATCCGGATCAACATATAGGATACTTTTTACCACGGAAAAATATCTCATTTTTGAGAAAAAATACAAAAACTGCAATGTAAGAGTATACTAATGTGTAAAACCTGAGAATTTGATTTTTGTCATCTGAACGCGGGAAATGCTAAGTAGTACATGTATAAAAATTGTATATTTTTGGATTGGCTTACCTCTGCTAAAATTTTACCCTTCGTCACTAATATAATATATTAATTATGAAAGGATTTTGTAATTTAATCCATATGGGGTGGTAAAGTTTGCATGGAAAAGATTATATTTCTGGTTAAATTTAATATTTATTATCTTTTGAGAAATAAATTATTGGCATATTTCAAGCATTAGCAAACATAAAATTAGAAGAAAGGAGCCACATTAAACAAAAGGCTTCTATTAAGTTTATAGGTTTATATGATTAGTTTGTATTTTTATATCCTCTTAAAATAACTAGTATTAAGAAATTTTACATATAGTAAAATTTTAAGTAGAATTCGAATAAAACCTAAAATATAAACACAAAATGTATAAGGAAAAAAAAGTAATTGCAACACTTAATCACAAAAATTTAGAAGGAAGGCCAAGTAATTTTAAAGATAACTAATCTATTATTATCTATATATGTTTGTCAAAAGTCCATGTTTAGTAGAGCATGGTCGGGTGGCCCAGATATGGAAATAATTTTAATAAGCAAATAAAATCGACAGCATAAAGTAATAGATGTACCAAATGGGCACACTGGTTTTGCACCAGAGCTTTTTAATTATTATCATATTAAAAAAAAAAACATATAATACGAGCAGTACCCGCGACTTCATCCGCGGTTAAACTTCCGATATAAACATCAGTTTTACAATAATGTATGGCAGTCTGCCCGATTTGTTGACATTTATGATTACTGCTCCACACCCTTAGGTTGTATGTAGTAGCATTATTAAATAACCGGCCTATCTAATGCAAAAAGAGTTATCGGATTAGTAGTTCCTGAGATTTGCGCGTTCAAACAAACAAGCTATGCTCCTTTATACATTAGTACAGATAAATACAAATATGTCACCTATTACATCTAAATATATGACGACTCGTTTGGCTCAGTTTGTAGTGATCCTACTTGCTGTGCCAGCCGTCGCGGATTCAAGTCCCGCTGGGGGCATTCATTTGTGTGATGAGCACGAATGTTTGTACTACAATCATGGGTGTTTATATTTATAATATGTATGTATTTAAAGTTATATATGTGATCAACTATCTGGTATCCATAACACAAGCCTCGTAGCTTACAGTGGGACTAGATAGTGCTGTGTGTTAATATCCCAACATATTTATTTTATTTATTTATTTATATGTTTTTTCCAGGACAACTTTCTCCCTCCCTCGCAGCGTAATAACTATGCGTGCGAAAAGGACCCCACAGGTCCACTTAATCGCAAGAAGTTAATTGAACACATCAACAAACAAGCCTTAGAGACTCCAGACCGGCCTGAGGTCAAACCGTATGTCGCTGGTGTTATACGTGGTAAAAAGGTATGTAGACATTTTTTTATTATAAATCAGAAATATTGCACATTATTTTTTTATTTTGTAGACAAAAATATTCGTTGACGATGCTTTATAACTGTCATGATTCACTCAGTGTTCCTAATCCCAAAATCATAAATTCTGAGTATCTTTTAAGTGACAGTAGACACGCTTTATAATATGAAGATACTAGTGACTCACTCTCACTTTGCTTGGGTTCGTTCCTAGGTGCATTTTAACGGTTAGTATGGAATAGATAGACTATATTATATATATATACAAAGGTATGAAGTGTTTTATATTTCTTACTTGAGAAATGATTGATTCTACATACAAAGTTCCTTCCCCCTTTTCACCCCCTCAAGGTGAGAATTCCGGGATGAAAACTATCTTACGTCTTTCCCAGGGTCTCAAACTATCTTCATACCAAATTTCATCTAAATCGGTTCAGCGGATTAATTATATAAGACTTCAATCCATCCTTGCTAACCTATTCGTTCAATATATAAATTTTATAACAGCTGTATCAAACTTGAAACTAATTGACCATAATGTACACCTCATGTTACATATGGACATGTGAAACTTGCTAAATTGAGTTTATTGAGCAGTAGTGCATGTAACATATCAGTAATCACTAATCAGTAAATATTAATAATGTATTCAGCCCCTATTTTTATCGTCCCACTGCTGGGCACGGACCTCCCTGCAATACGAGGGGTATCAGGCCATAGTCCACCACGCTGGCCGAGTGCGGGTTGGCAGACTTCAAATGTCTTTCGAAAACTTGCTAGGTTCTCTCAGAATGCAGGTTTCTTCACAATGTTTTCCTTCATCGTAAGGCAAGTGGTAGTCAAGTTAGAAATGATTCGCACATAAAAATATCAGAGGTGCGAGACCCGGGATTTGAACCCGCTTCACTCGGTTTCCCAAGTGAGCACGCTACTACTGGGCTACCACTGCCTTTTAATATTAATAATATATATAGCCTTTATTTTCAAGTTGGGTGCATTTTTTACATTAAATAATCATAACATTAATTAAACAGAGTTATAAATGTTTATATAATGTCCCTAAGCTCGGTGTGCCTCTTGGCATAGGCCTCCACCAATTCCTTTCATTGAGCTCTGTCCAGCGGAACTCTGCTCCAGTATGGTGCTAAAGTAATGCAGATGTCATCTCTCCATCGAATTTTAGGACGTCCCCGCCTCCTCATCCCATCCCGCGGGTACCAAAGATTAACTTACTTGCTCCATTTCTCCAGTTTGCACCTTAGCATATGACCCGTCCAGCGCCATTTGAGATGGTCTATACGTGTCAATATGTCTACAAGTTTTCGATCTTATCTCTCAGTTTCTTATTTTGTGATCAAATAATCATAAAGTAAAAATTACTGTATATATATATATATATATATATATATATATATATATATATATCATCAGTTAAATTGTCTGTTTATATGAGATTTGAAATGGTACGTACTGACTACAGGTAGAAAGTCATAACATTTTGTAAATTGTGTCAGAAATAACTGTTATGTATGTGAAATGGTGTAATTTGCATTTCCTACTTCCCATTTCATTATACTTAAGTCAATTTATGTTTACAGTTACATATTTTGTAATTCTGGTTTCTAAAAATAATATATTGTGATATACTAGCTTTGGTCCGCGGCTCCGTTCGTGTGGTTAGGTCTTAGCGTGAATCAGTAGTCGTTGTAAAATAAAAAATATAATACTACTCTGTAATAATATTTTTTACTAGCGACTCATTCTCGCTTCGCTCGGGTTCGTCCCTAGGTTGATTCCCCATACAAACTCTCATCCCTATTTTCACCCCCTTAAGGGATGATTTCCGGGGTAAAAAGTATCCTATGTTCTTCCCAGGGTCTCAAACTATCTTCTTACCAAATTTCATCTAAATCGGTTCACTAGATCCAGAAATCACCCCCTACAACGTCACAAACTCACAAACTTTACCTCTTTTATGATATTAGTATAGATATGTACCTATAACTAAATATGTATGGACTATGCATATTAGCAAAAATTAAAATTACTTTTATTTTTGTTCTACCTATAAATGAAAATTGCAAACTAATTCAGTCGCTAAATATCGCGAGTCCATATGACCTTCAAAATATCTGTATAAAAAATATCAATCTTGAAGAAGTAATTAAAATATATAATTTTTATATTATATTAATTATGGGTAATTTTTGCAGTGGATCCCACCCCCTGTTCCGGAGAAAGTGCGTGAGGCCGAAGAACAAATAACAATCGACTTAGGCGACGAATATGAACAAGCCCTTACTACTGCTAGCCAAGAAGAAATCATCGATCTCGCTGGTAAGAAATTATGTTAATACACCACACATTACTGTTTATTATTAATAAACACTTTTTATTATCAAATCTTAAGTTTGTTCTAAAGATTTTTTTCTTTTAATCTTCTAAATAATTATTTAAAAGAATGACTTCATTTTTTTGCTTTTATTGTATATTAGCGACTTAACCTCGCTTCACTCGGGTTCGTTCTATGTACGTTTTAATTTTTTGGAACGGGACTCGTAATTCTTTTTTTAAAATAAACTAGCCTAAGTTACTCCTTAAAACATCAGCTATCTGCCAGTGAAAATCCCGCGAAAATTAGTCCAGCCGTTTCCGAGATTAACCGGAACAAACAGACAGACAAAAATTTTGAAAATGTTGTATTACGCATTTAGTAAAAAGCTGTTACTTTGAAGTTACAAACAGACACTTCAATTTTATGTATCTGTATAGATGGTATATAAATATATGTATAACGAATATCAATTTAGATAAAAGCACTTTTCATTTTTAATGCTGCAGCATAGCCCTGGTAGAAGTGATTTTTGAAGTTATTTTTCTTTTGGCAAGTTTGGAAAAAATATATATAATTTTTACGATGCGCGCGCAGACCGACAGCCAGAAAGCGACATGATGAAGTTAGCTACATTCCTTTTTTCAAACACAGATTTGTGACATACGGGATGAAATCTTTAGTTTTTTTTTGTTCTGTTACGCCAAATAAGTATAACTTCTTACGCGCGTACATGAGTACACACACGTTTATTTTGCATTGAAATAATTTGAGTATATTAGTGTTGCTGCAGAAAGCCAAATGGCCAAGTGTGACTTGTCAGTCAAATTTAATTTTTTTAAATATAAAAAACAAGCTTTTTATGTTGCATGATGAAATAAAAACCAATCCTTTGTAATAACATTCAGTAGGAATTTGCAACTATTTGGCTTACATCCAGTTCTGTCTAATTGATGATCTTTGTCTCGACATTAAAACAATCTTTTTCGATGTTGGTACAAGTTTCAGATGTTACTATGATATAATATTTTCTAGAACTGGGTTATTTTAATGCTGAATCTGTTATGAGAATACCGCTAAATATTATACGTCCATTTGTTTATTGTTTTTACAATGATTTTGTGACATATTTTTATGTTGGGATATTAACACACAGCACCATCTAGTTTCATGGTATGCTACGAGGCTTATGTCATGGATACCAGATAGTTGATACACTACACATATGTAACTTTAAATACATACATATTATAAATATAAACACCCATGACTGGAGTACAAACATTCGTGATCATCACACAAATGAATGCCCAGCGGGACTCGAACCCGCAACCGCTGGCATAGCAAGTAGTATCAGTACAAACTGAGCCAAACGCGTGTTATGTCAATAGCGTAAACTAATTGAAAAAAATGTTAATTTGCAATATATGAAACATGTAAGTAAGGAAATATGCGTATGCTATATAAAAAAATGCTAACAATTTATTTTTGTATGTGGTTTTGAAATATAATACTTTTGTTTATATATTTAGTTGATCTCAAAAGAGTTTTTCTTTTACATTAATACTTAGTCTCTGTTTCTGTTGGCAACAATATTATTATGTACATGAATTTAATATATTGAGAAATTTTTTATTTAAAGAAATTTTCCTCTCAATTTTAAGGTAGTCTAAGCATGAATCAATTAATGTTATAAATGCAAAAATTAATGAGTAAGTCAGCGAGTGTTTCTTACTTCGTCATGTCATAGTTAGCTGAACAGATTTAAGTGAAATTTGTAATGGGGATAGCATGTAAAACTATAAGCAATAAGGCATTTTTTGTTAATATTTGTTCTATATATAATATTACAGCTATTCTCGGATTCCACTCCATGATGAACCAGGACCAGTACCACGCGTCGCTGTTGAATAAAGGACAACCTGTGGGACTCGGTTGGGACGGTATCACTAAGGCCACTAAGCCTAAGGTAATTCATATAATAATGTAATCTATACTATCATAAAGACGCAGAGTTTGTTTGTTTGGCTGCGCTAATCTTAGGAACTACTAATCCGATTTGAAAAATTCTTTTTGTTTTAGATATTTTACTCGTTTATTGAGGAAGACTATCATCATGACTATCATCATGTTACTACCCATGGGAGGGGAGCAGTAGTACTACAATATATAGTCTATCTATTCCATACTAACTGTTAAAACATAGCTAGGGGCGAACGGTGTTTATATAAAAAATGCAAATGTTCATGGCCAAATGGCAATGTCTTCTATGCAGGATATGTTCGGTTTGATTCTTGCACTGTAAAATAAAAGGAATGCTTATTGTGCTAATACAGATATTTGAATCTTAGTCTAAAAATGTCATTGTAATATTATGAGTACCTTATTCGTCGCCGCACTAGATATACTGATATTTTTATTATTTATTATATGATTGAATTATCTGTTTCTCAATCCAGATATATCCCATGGACCCCCCTAACGACGTGGACCCCGACCAGACCATCAACAGGGTTAAAGATAACGACCAGTCCTTCATTGATCTCAATTGGAATAATATTAAGGTGAGAAATAATTATGTATAAATAAAAAAATAAAAAATAAGTAAAAAAATATAACATTTAAATGTGTACACATCTAAATATTAAGGTGAGAAATAATTATGTATAAATAAAAAAATAAAAAATAAGTAAAAAAATATAACATTTAAATGTGTACACATCTAAATGTTATATTTTTTTACTAAGGCGAGCGTTGCCGCGTGCAATACTTTTTTTTTTTTTGTTGACGCTGGGGAAACCCATCATGGGGACCCTACCGGCCGTCAATGGGTAGGGTATGCCGCGTGCAATACCTAGTTCAATATATTTTTGTGACATCAATTTGTTTTGCTCAGGCCTATGTATGTCTATGTAATCAGAAAACATGATTAGTCTGTTGATTTTTGAAGTATAACAGTATAAACAAATAAAAAGGCTATTGCGTTGTTAATGTTGGTATAAATCGTGCAGATAAGGAATGGAATTTTAGTGGCGTTGCCACTTATCACACGTACATTATCGCTATCTTTACTAAAAATCTCCAGTATATAGTAAAAAAACAATTAAAGCCGTCGCGGGACGCCTGGCAGATGTTATTTTTTTTTATTTAATCTTTTATTTCAGGCAATGTTTACATAAAGATCTTAAATATGTAAACAGAGGCCCATAGCATAATATATACCTTAAAACTAACATATATATATATATATATATATATATATATATATATATACACACACACATATACATATATACATATACACACGTAACACATATATATATATATATATATATATATATATATATATAAACTATTTCACACGTAGTGCAGACGTGTGAGCTGTTAAACATCGAAACTATTTTGTATTGAAAATATGCATGCCACGATGGTTTATAAAGGCAGTAAATATGATATAATTAAAAACAACATATTCAGATTTTTTATAAGAAAAAAAAATTATATTTAAAAATACAGTTTAATTTAATACCAAAATTAAAATACGAGCTCAACGCGATAAGAGAGAAAGAGAGAGAGAGAGAGAGTGAGAGAGAGAGTAGGGAATCACTGAGTCTAGTGGGAAGAGAGTCTAATCATTAGCTCGTGGCGACGCTTCGCCACGACAACCACCAGTTTGACCCGCCGCATTAGATTTTTCACATCAAAAAATATTATTTTCTATTAATAATATTATGTCTTTAATATTAGAGGGTCTTAAATTTTCTTAAACATCTAAAAGTTCTATAATTATTTTTTATTAAAATAACTTCAGCTTAGTTAATGGTATAAAAAAATCAATACAATTAAAAACACGTAGCCTTATATTACAAGCGTTCTCTTTCAGGCAACCGATACAAAACGATACAAAATAAATGTAAAAAAAATATATACATACATATTTATTTAATACATACATGTATTATTTCATTTCAATTAATCTATACTAATATTATAAAGAGGTAAAGTTTGTGAATTTGTGAGTTTGTGACGTTTTAGGGGATAATCTCTGGATCTACTGAATAAATTTAAATGAAATTTGGTAAAAAGATAGTTTGAGACCCTGGGAATGACATAGGATACTTTTTATCCCGATAATCATCCCTTAAGGGGGATGAAAATGGGAATGAAAATTTGTATTGGGAAGCAAGCTAAGGACGAACCCGAGCGAAGCTAGGGTGAGTCGCTAGTTATTAACATATTTCTAATACCATTCCATGGTAAATATAGAACAAATATCTGTCTCAATCCAGAACATAAGCGACGAGAAATTCGAGAAGCTGTTCGAGGCGCTCAAGACGAACACTCACCTGGAGGTGCTCTCGCTGGTGAACGTCGGCCTCAACGACCGCACGGCGCAGCTGCTGGCCGACGCGCTGGCGGCCAACGCGGCGCTGCGCGTCGTCAACGTCGAGACCAACTTCATCAGCCCCGCGGGCGTGGTGCAGCTCGTGCGCGCGCTGCTCGCCACCAACACTGTGGAGGAGTTCCGCGCCTCCAACCAGGTGAGTCATAGATGGGACCTTGTCAACTTAATGTCGATCGGTTTAGTGTGGGGGAGTTCCGCCCGTGTAATCAGGTGAGTGATAGATGGGACTTTATCAAAGTCAACTTGATAATTAAGGAATGCGAAGTAACCAGGAATGTGTAAAGTTACCAGGTGAGTGTTAGAGGAGACTTTGTTAAAGTAAATGTTCATTGGTTTACTAAAGATATGCCAATTTGCTTACTAAAGATGTAGTGTTTGTTATATTATTTTTTAGAATTTGAAAATATTTTAACGTAACATTTATTATTTACAGTTATAATATTGATTAATAACTTTAGTACACTTTAGTATATTATAGGTACCATGTTTAATAATAGTAAAACAAAAATAAATCTATTATCAACTAAGAATGAATAAAGTTGAATCTTAATTTCTAAACCCCCAGCGATCGCAAGTGCTCGGCAACAAAACCGAGATGGAGATAACCCGGCTGGTGGAGCAGAACCCCACGCTGCTGCGGCTCGGCATGCACCTCGAGTACAGCGACGCGCGCCACCGCGTCGCATCGCATCTGCAGCGGAACATCGATAGAAGTGAGTATCGATTTTTATTTTTATATTTGGTATCGATTTTATTTTTATATCGATTTTTGTTATATATTTATAGTATCGATTTTAATATTTTATATATTGAACTAGCGACTCGCCCTCGCTTCGCTTGAGTTCGTCCCTAGGTACATTTAATTTTTTTGAGCGGAGTCCTAATTCTTTTACTGAAATATAATAAGATTAAGTTACTCCTTATAACATCAACTATCTACTAGTGAAAGTCCCGTTAAAATCGGGCCAGCCGTTTCGGAGATTAGCCAGAACAAACATACAGACAGACAAAAAATTTAAAAAAATATGTTTTTCTTATAAACACCGTATATAATTCCATATGCATTTAATAAAAAGCTGTTATTTTGACATTAAAAACAAACACTTCAATATTATTTATCTGTATAGATATCTATATTTATTTAAATTTTATTCTATTTTATCTTTTCGGATTATTTCGCGGATATAATTTATTTGATTTATTTATTTCTTTTATTAGAATACTGGATTTTATAATGATGATGTTCTTAGTAAAAAAAATATATTATTATTTAATAAAATTACAGAGGGATTTGCTCACATCCATTTATTTTTGTTACTTTTGAAATGTCGTTATTTTATTTACATTTTTAGGTTTACAGGTATTGATAACATACTTTGTTAAAAAAATAGTGATGAATATTAAATAATTTATACATATAACGTTTGATCTGATTTTGGTGAAAAATATGGCTTGTTTCGAAGTAAAACTATGTGCAAGTTTGTTTCAGTGTCTTATTAAGATACCGTTTTAATATAAAGATGATACGACAAAAAATGATTTTTAGAAAATTTTATCATTTTAGACAAAAAAAAATTGGATATATTGTAAAAGGTTATTTTATTTACAATAGCTATTAATATTCTTACCTGAATATAGGAGGTATCTTTTTGCTTTTGATATCTCGTGGGACTGACCATGTAATGGAATGACTTATCTGGATCATTGAATGAGAAAATGACTGCAGATTTATTTACATAATTGCTGTGTCAAATAATGACTTAAAAAAGTTTTATAATTTTGAGATATACTTTATGAATGTATTATTAAATTGTTTTAGCGTTAATCATATTTAGCTTATTTATGAGCTATATCATGTCTTATTTTACTATACATATTTTTATTTCTAAGCATTTATACAAATCATTCTTATCAACCATATCGATATTCATACAATTCGAGAACATTAAAATCGATGTACCATCTACAGTTACTATATCAGTACATTGCGGGAAAGAAGAGTTATCCAGACGTCGACTCCACACTCGCTAGTAATCACATTACGTTACATATAACCGACCCGTAGATAATGTAGCGAATGTCATCCTCGCTTATTAACACTAATAAAACATTACAATCATTGCCATACAAAAAAATCACAAAAAAATCCCATAAAGGATCCCTCAACGGACAAACGGTCTAGCCCTCCCCGTTGATGTATGTACATATGAATGGAGTAATCTCATCGAAATTAAATCATTCGGCAACACGAAACACAGATGAGAGATCGAATATATATAAATAAAATCGATTGAAATAATATCGATATTGTCAGATTGCCGTTTGAAAAAGCGAGCTAGCGTGTCACTAAGCTTGCGGCTGCCGCGCGGACGCCCGCCGGCCGTCGGCGTCGACTCTAGCTTCTTCAACCTCACACCACCAAGCGCGGAAACCGCCACGCCCACTACAGATAGAAGAATAGTTGATAAGCCGATTATCGATAACGATGTATCGATAACGGACGCCCAGAATGGAAATTTCGTGATGGCGTCGCCGCCAGACATTAACCCCGAACCCCACTCGTGAGTAAACACGACTCACCGACTCACATCACCGCGTGCTGGCCCCTTTTCGTGTATGCGTTTTTGATGCGAAATCGATTAATCGACAATTGTGTGTCCTACAATGTGTGTTAACTTTAATCGTCCGTGTAAAGTGATTAATTGTGGCCGATTAATCGATTTCACGCTCGATTGGTTTGTCGATGACGAATCGATGTGTGACACGAAGTGTTCCATAGTCACATTATTTTGTTCATTACAGTACGGAAAGACCTAACGCTGCGACTTCAGTTCAGATTCTTTAACAACCTGCAAAAAGGGGCGCGTAGCCAATAGAGTATATAAAGGTCAGGCCCTCCAAGGGTTTCGAGTTGGCACGGCAGCGAAAAAATAACCCCTACTTCGCTTATAATAAAGCTTATTTTACAGTGTCTATTGAGTGTCATCACTTACATTATATCGGTGCAGGTTTATGAATAATCAAAAAAAAATACACGATCAATCAATATATTAAAATTTGATTTATAAAACTGCATCCGCTATAGATATTATCTAAATCACTTTTGAGTATATATCTTTTATTTAACATCCTACACTTTTCAAATATTTTTTTTTTATATATCTATCTCCTTATTACACTTAGCTCTTCATTATTTCGAAAATAGAGACAAATCGACAGATTTTTTTAATACATTATTTAATTTTTAGCCGAGAGGGGAGCGTAGAACGGAATAATATATAGAATGGGCGCCAATAAATCGGTAAAATTCCAGTTATGTTTTGGCGCGAATGTTATTGAGGCAATATAAGATCAAGCTACCGAGGCTTTCGCTAATCATCGCTTAGAATACTTGAGGGGTCGTGCTACGAAAGGATAGACGTACTATCCGGTTTTTATTGTTTATATATATATATACATATATTAAATATGTCATTTGATGAAGTGTATACAATAACTAACGTCACGCATGACCGTGTGGACTAACTGAATGCGAATATGAAGCATGATTATGATTACGTTACGTTCTATTGATTTTATTGTTATGTTTGACGAATTTCTGACTAAACGAATGATGTATTGTCAATTTTTAGTATCCCTGATTGAACTGACGATATTCACTTTAAATGGTAGATTTTTTTTTAATATATGTTTTAACTTAGTCTTCTTATTATGCTTATTTTTCGTATTAAAGTGAATACTGTTAGTACATGACCGGTGTATGTATATAAAACTTGACGTTATGTCGGTGTGTGTATTGCAGTACGCCAGCAACGCCGGAGCCAGAGCGGCGCTTAGAGAACTAAACTCAACTTGTGGTGAGTTAAATTAATCATTTATCGTATGTTTTTTGTTTAAATATAGAGTATACGTAAATTGATTTTTTTTATATGATGTATATGTTACCTACGAAAATATTTTTATAGTTAAAAATGATGAATTATTTTTTTAACGTTAAAATTATTATAAATTTAATTAAGTAATAATTCTGATTTATAAAATCGATTTGTACACGATATCGATTTCAAATGTTATTTGTTTTCAATGTAAAAACTTATATTATATATGTATTTTATATGTTAAATCTTTTTACGTAATACTCCGATTCTCCATTGATCCCCGATTTGTGTGAGAAATTATCTCAAAACATATTTTTGCCCCCAAGTGTTAAAAATATATTGTAAATAAATTGTTTGTATGTATTATTAAATCAAGAAAGGTAGCTTTAGTTTATTTCATATAACATGTTTTTACACGAAAATTAAGTTCACTATACACTGCAACTACACTCAACAAAGAGCAAAATAAAACTTAAACTATTGAACTATAAACAGAAAAACGGGGTTAATTCAATTATTTCACATACAATTTTTAGTTGTTTTATGATCTTTTTACATCGTAGATGAAAGATTATAATCTGTGTCAATGGCGATAAAAAATTAAAGATGGCGCTGATTTGTTGTATTTTACTCAATCGAAATATTTAAAAAACATTTTGTATAAAACTGCATAACTTTTTTAAATATTAATATATTATTTACAGCATTTTTAACTGTGAGAGTTTAACACACCAATGTGAGAGTTTAAAGCTACCAATGTGTAAAATCTCTATTTAAATACTTGGTCTAAGTCGTCTACAATATATTTTTTTTATTACTTAATAAATAGTAATTTGCATTATATTATATAAATAACTGCCATATATTTTGTATAACATTCGACAATACATTAAGAAGGGATAAAAATAAGTGTTTCTGTACCGCCAGGTGGGCGAATCCGGCGTCTGAGCCAGTTCACACGCAGCCCGAGCTACGTAGTGGGTTGGATCCCCTGACCGCAACACTGTCACTCTCTTTGTCACTGTGTAGTATTTGTAGACATAACATACCATTGTAAACAAGCCAAAACTATTTCTATCTCTTTCAATCAAGTGCAATTAAACAAGGATAGACAGTCAAATGCTCTATCTCTTTCTTTCATGTCACTTGTCTATTTTAGCATGTTATGTCTATGCTATTACGGATTTGATATGTCATTTTAAAATTGTCTATGCTTCTGTTCTATAAAGGTGGTTGCACACGTTAATGCACGCGGCTTTATATAATTTGAATCGAAATTGTGTGGCTCGATCGAATTGTACACACACATAAATAAAGCTTAAAGCAACGTGTGTGACCGCCTTAATGTATTTTGAAATTATATTCGAATGTTTTATATAGGTGCTTTGATGTACGCTTTTGTAAAGTTCAATTCTGACTTCGACAGGTCGTTACAATTTTCATATTATATGTACTAATGTAGTTGGACTTTTTTATAATGATAGTGTACGTTTACGGCAAATCGATTTTCGGTCTAGTGATTGCTTATGAATTATAATCTATTTAACTAAATTGGTGCTTGTATGTTGTATAATGAAATATTCAATTAAATTAATTTGACCAAATTGACGAAGTTCTTGCTTTAAAAATCAAAATGAAATTACAATGTAAAAAAAAAATTATTTGACTACACAATTACAAAGACACGATTGACAAAATGAATGCTTGACGATGAATATTTTGCGCAAACAAGAATTTTGATTTTATTTCCAAAATATCTTCTTAAAACAACTCGATGGCCGGCCCATCACTAGTTGTATAAATACAACACTAACATAAAGAAATAAAATCAACAATCTTGTCTATGATTGATCGTATCGTACGTTTACATTATTAATTCTAATTTTAGTGTGCTAATGAAATCGTATTAATTTTTATCATTAAATTGTAATATATTATAGACGTGCACATTCCATTAATGCATAACATGCTTCTCTACTTGGATTCAAATTAACAAAATAATTTTTATATTTGCGAAAAGTTTGTTTATACAATATTTATTCAAATAATTTGCAGACAAACGTTTGGAGAAACACTAACATTAATATTAGATATATATAATATAACTTAGTCGTTTAGTTCTAATAAATGGTTGATTACTGCCATTTCTATAGAGAAGTCATGTTCTGTGTCAATGGATTTTAAGAGTTATACATAATATATTATTTTCAAAAAAGCACTAGGTTTTCGCAGTGCGACACTTCTAACACTTATACTCTGTGGTCAAGCTTCACTCGGGACTCGTATTCAGTGCTGCCAGTAGAGCCAACATATTTTATACCGTTGGGTCACTCAAATTATACCAAATCAAATTTTATTATACAAATTAAACAAAACTGTTGAGAAATAGTCTGTGATGAATAAAAAAAATAAAAAAATAAAAATATGTAATAACTTAAAATGAAGTATACATAAAATAACCAAATTTTTTTGTCAATTATTGTAATTTTCTTATCCAATTCTGGCAGCCCTACTCGTATTGACCTCTTGCTTTCTTGAAATATTCTTGCTTATTATTATCATATTATAACTTACGTATAGTGAATCTACTGGGGATCATAGTGTCCATAACGTTGTGATAAACATCATGTGTTTCCAATAAAACTATTGCTTTGTTTTTTTTTTCACCTAGTTTTTATGGGGCTGAATGAGTGTTAAATGACGATAATGTCTTTTGATAGCTTTTATTTATATATCGTTCTTGAATTAAAAAAAAAATCGATAAAATCTTGTGAAATTATAATATAAAAATTACTATGTTATTTTATTCTAGTGTCTTGCGAAATGAACTAATAATAAATAAGCCCCTAATTAAGAGAGATTATTTGTATATGATTTAGATTCTTAATGTATTTTTGTTGTATCGAGCTATGAAATTTAAAATTAATATAAATTATAGTTTTTTATATCGTAATAGATTTTTATTTATGTCAACATGTAAATGGAGCATTTTGGTCCAACGAAAACTTGACTAGTAGAGTCGCAGTTATGTAGTTTTGTGACAAAAAAATAAATAAAGCACTTAAACTTGATATTTGTTTCATTTGAATGCTCCCAGAAATAAAATATTTACTATAGAATTTTTGTTTTGCTAAAAAAAATTTTTTGAAGTGAAAACTATAGGCAGGTTTGGATGGGGAGTAAATTCATGTAAGTCGTCATCTACATGGTCACGTGACGTGTTAACGCTGACACTTAGAGTGCCGAGAGATGTCAAAACCAGATAAATGTAAACAGTTATAATTTACAAATTTTAATTTAAGACCAAACAATTTGAATATCAAAAAATAACAATTGTTGGATTATAGTTTTAAGTCTTCACTTCTGTCGGCTGTGCTCATGACTGCTGTTTTTTTTACTCAACATTTGGGTTGGACGTTGGTTGTGACGCACTGATTTTTTAAAATTTTGGTTCGATTGGATTTTTTTTTCGACTGATTATCTTTGAAAACATTCAAGGAGTGATAAATATAGTCATTTTCTACCCATCCTTCACTGTAAAATTGCATTTTTTCAATTTAAAAAAAAAAGTTGAAAAAATAACTTGTTATTTTTTTGTATTACAGTAAAAGTTTGGTAATCTATTCTTTCTGACTGCACATCTAGACAAAGACATAGAGTGAAGTTATGTATATAAGTATACTG